GATGTTTAGTAAGGGAAGGGAGGGGGGGGGGGGGGGGGGTTGGGGTGGGTGGGGGGGATACACAGATGCTGCAGTCTGTGGTACAAAATCATACACGTGTGTCAGATTAGCAGCCTGTGACGTCTGGATCAAACATTGTCCTGCTTGCTCTATCCTGTTATCAATTCTTCAGAATAATTAGGCTTCACTCTAGCCCTGGAGCCGACAGTTTAGCAGCTAAGCAACTGTAAATTAAGTACACCATTTATTTAAAAAAAAAACATCACGCTTCCATGTTAATTTCGACCTTACATGAGGTACTCTATACACAGAAACCAACAGCCTGATGAATAAATAAGGAAATGCATTAAGACCATCAAGTTCAATGTCAGTGACGAAAAACTAATGAGACAGAAATGCCCGTACAGTTTAGTAAAAAGTGACATTTGGGTCGATCGACTATAAATTGAAAAGAGAAAAGGAGACGGATTCAGCTCAGCACTTAAGATTCTTCTGAAAGTCCAAAAGTCACAACTTTCTGTTGCACTGATTGCAGTGAAGACTGTCCTCTAGAGTTTGGAGTTGGATTATCATTGATGCTGCTCCAGTGTTAAAAGTAGAAGCACTAGAACGACAGACTACAAACTGCATATTACTACAAAGGTAATATGGTTTAGGGAGGCTATGTACAGTACGAGTGTGTCTAACATCCCACAGCGTTGCCGTTGACCTCCGTGTTCCTGACAGGGAGGGGGCTCTGAGGAGCTGGGACTGTCAGAGAGGGAAGATGGATGCGGGGCGGCTCCATGGAGTTTCCTCTCACTGTGATGTGGTCCCATCCACCCTAAAAAAGAAATCTTGTGTTTGTTGCAAGTTCTGAGCACAAAAGAAAGGATTGAACGTCCTCCTGCAGCCCAATCCGCTGCCTCAACATCTGCTGACAGCCTGCGATCTACTACCAATCACTGTACACTAACATTACTGCCTACATCAGGCACAATACAATATGTAAGACTCTTTAATACCCTGACAACACAGTCACACAGTAGAGTTTCTTTGGTGCCTTACCCCAATGCCGTAGTCCCACGACTGTCCTTGAGGCTCCACAGGTTGGACCCCGAGTCGATGGCACACTGTTCCACAGCTCAGACTCTGGCTGCCCTGCACCTTGTCTGCTATGATCCACACCTACCCCACAACAAGAAAACAACAACAATCTAAATCATTAAAGGGTTGTTTATAATCTCAAAGCAGCACTTCTTATGGTGGATTCATGTGTTGACACATACATTTTGAAATATATCAATTCCGAGACATATATTCTGAATCATTCATCAAAAAATTTCACGATGGCTGTCACATCCAACTCTATGGCTTACTGTGACAACAGAAGATCAACAGTGAAAAGACGTTGTCGTGGTACTGACCTGGTCCAGAGGCCCTGCAGAGACCTTGCGTACATTATTAGAGATGTGTTCCCAGCTGGATCCCTGAGGGTAGCTTGGGGTCAAACCCTGGCGGTACCACAGGTTACCTGCACAGGAAATCCAAGAAACACAAATATCAGGTATCCACTTATTAATAATCAATGTTTGCATAAGCTCTAAATACCAATGCAATCGTTTGTACCATTTTCATCTACAGTGTAGACTGATGTCCTCCCAACAGACACCTGCTTCAACTTCTGTTTGGCCGGGGAGGGGATGTGGTACCAAGAGTCTCCTGCAGGGGGAGACACAACACTTAATACTGCAGCAGTGAAAATCCTCTTTGTTTGCAGAGTCAGAAGCTGACACATTTAAGCGTCCTTAACTCTGCTCATTTATAAGTAAATCTTAATGTTTTATATTCAAACTGGACAGGTGCATGAATGACACACAGGTTCTCCTGCTGACCTGCTGGGCTCTGTGGAGACACAGATCCCCTGTAAAAGGCAGAACCGTCCTTGGCGATGGCCCACACCTGGCTGGCAGCCCCGATGGAGATGGACTTGAAAGGCTGGTCAGTTCCCACGTGGAGCCACGAGGATCCCTGAGTGAGCAACAAGAGGATGTTAGAACAATTACCTCCCAAGTACTTTAAAATGTGTTTTGCTGCAGCTGCACTGGAGGTATCTTTGCCTCAAGAATCAGACATAAATGATGTCCCACTGCACTCTTGTATCAGAGTCGTAAAGGTGACTCACAGCCGGTGTCAGTGTGGTGACTCCCAGTCTGCAGAGCACGTCTCCCTTGTTGCTGATCGCCCACAGAGGAACCACGTCCACGCTGCTCTGCGCTGCACAAGGCAGGATGGTCACATCGACCAGGGATATCGGCGGGATTTCTTGCCAGGGTCCTGTGGTGGTCAGCTTACTCTTCCTGTGCAGGAGGGGAAAAAAAACACAAAGCTCACAGGTGCCCCTAAACACAATATCTGTGTATGACGTGTGGCAAAAAAGAGCCATTGATTACTTCATCCAGGCAGAAGTTATTTTGAATCATATTACACTCTTATTTGGAAAGTTGAAACCATGAGTTGCTGGTGTTATTTTGTTCTATATTGTGCTGCATTATGTTTCAACTTAAAATGACGATGAGGCTTGTAAAGATGCTCCTTTTATTGTGTCCAGCACCTCTATATATTTCACATTAGTCACACATTCAATACTATCTAAAGATACATGTGATTAGCATGTTAACACATTTGTTGTGTATTGTTTACAGATTGATCAGCAAATATACATTTGCAGACAAAAACTGCAAACGTCGAGTGCACTATCCACTGTCAGACCACATACATACATATATGACAGAGTTGCTTTTTATAGTACCTGGCCCATCGCCTGCGACGCACAAAATCCTTCAGTGTTTTATGGCCATGATATGACCTGCATGGAGAGATTTGGAAGAGGAAGGAGCGGATTGTAGAATTAAACATTAATTAAAATCAAAACGATTAGGGCAGCATAGTTTGAAAAAACAACAACTGAGGAATGGCAAATGAAACCTACGCTGGAAAATCAGCTGCATATTGCCAGCCTTCTCTGTCTGTCCCCCCAGAGACACTGTAGTCAATGGCCCAGTCAGACACCTGTAAACAGCAAATATGATGAAGTGAAACACTGTGAAGACATCAGTAGTTCTGGCTACACACAATCTGTGAACCACAGGGAATTTAGTGCAGCGATTCTCAATGTTTTTTCAGCACAAAGGATCTCTCACAAGAATACACCGGGTAGGTAGTTATGTGGAAGAACACGAGTATAAATGTGTTAGATTGCGAAGGATATCATTTCAATTCTTTACACAGGAATGCGTAACAGTACAGAAGCTAAAGACTTTAAATAAATAAATACTTTTCACAGACCCCACTTTGAGAATCCCTGTCCTACTGTGTGTGTGTGTGTGTGTGTGTGTGTGTGTGTGTGTGTGTAGCTGTACTTACCCATATCCACTGAGGGGAGGGGGGTTTCATATTTGTTTTTGTGCACTCATGTAGTCCTGATGCATCACTCCACATGTAGCGGTCTGTAGGGAGCCCTCTAAAAACAAACACTTTAAATGAGTCATGTGTCACTTTGTATTTCAAATCAAACTTTACAAAACAACACGCACTTTAGCTGTCTGCTATTTCATCACAGTTCCTAAATGTGACCATTTTTTAGTCTCCCTGGTGTAAATGTAGACGCAGTCAGCTGTCTTAGCCTGGCAATTGCCAACAGTTCCCTCTTGAAGTTGAATCTCAGCGTCGCCCAGAGCAAACACTCTACCTGTTGGTGTAGCCGGAGACAGGGTTCCACCTCTGGTTCTCGTAGATGTAGACACTCTTGACATCCACCTGTGTGTAAATGTTATCTGTGCTGCTGGCCAGTCCCTGGGAGAAGCCTCCTCCATAGCCCCCGGTGTGGACCCAGGCAGTGTGGTCGTAGCCAATCCCCCACACGATGCCAACACTGTTGCACTCCACCACCCGCAGGTGACCTCCAACCTGCCGCCAGAACCTGCACAAAAGGAATAAATGCTTCATGAAGGCTGAGTGATTAAGATAAAAAAACAAAAACAAGACGGCAAATATTAAAAAAGAAAAACTCTGTACGTGAGTGACTCTTATTCTTACATCTGGTCGCAGGGGGTGGGGTAAGGCAGGGCCTCCAGACTAGGAGAGGGCTCACTGACAAAGATGTCTCCTTTACAGGTTACGGACCAGACGGCCTGCTTAGAGGGAGAACCCTGGATCCCTCTGGAGTTGCAGCAAGAGACACTCAACAACACCAGCTTCAAATCGGGAACGAGGTGAAGGCAGACAGAATGGGTCGTAAAGGGAGAGAGAGAGAGAGAGAGAGAGAGAGAGAGATTAGAAGAGACAGAAAGAAGCCAATACAAATGAAATGGTGGGCATGTGTGCATATCATGTGGGCATCTAGATCACCTAGCAGATTGGTGTGCACCATTCTGGTTTTCTGGGATCAAATATGCTGTGCAGTATACGTACCCAGTCATGCATCTCCAGCTCTGTGGCTGCTGCCAGTCGGATTGGCCACCTCTGTTTGGTCCGCTCAGGGGTGTAGACGGCAAAAGAGTGTTTGGAGTCATTTAGCACAGGAACCAGGATGGTGACCTCGTTGATGAAGGCATGCAGGTACTGGAGAGAGTGACAGCAGAGGGAAGAAGAGACAACACAAGTAGATAGAAAGTAAATAGAGGAAAAAAGAAGAAGAGAAAAAGCAGTAGTTTTTCCAAAAAGGAACAGCAGTACTGATTCATTTAAATGACTCATTCCATCGTGGAAGGTGTTAACAGATACAGTCAATGTGACAGTCGGACATGGAAACCATCAAAACAACTAATTCCCTCGAGAAGGCTTATGAAACTG